CCCCCCCATTTGCGGCATTTTCCCCCGTCCTATGGGCTCTTGACTCTTTCTACAGCCTTTCTATTGCTATTCCTTAGCCACTTTTTTTTACTGCTGTCTTTCAGCCTCACCCCTCATCTTGGGGGCTGCCCAGTTTGTCACAGGCCTGGTTTGTCACAATCCTATTTAAATATTTGAGTATTGATGACAGTCATAATTACCAAACTTCAACACTGCTTTTGTAACTTAAGCTTTTTATTCTCCACCTTCAAATTGGTGGTGTAGAGATAGTCCCTCTATAAGAAAAATGTCAATTCAGCTAGTGTTGGTCAATGTTTCTTCCTTTTTAAATGCAAATCAAAGCAAATTACCCTGTTAAATTTTAACAATGAACATTCTTTCTTTAAAAACAATTGGAAAAATAAAATTCAATTCATTTCGTACTAGATCTATCAATCAATCAATCATTTACTCTTTTTGAGAGTGTCAGTGAAACTTCAATCATGCAGGACACAGTCGAGGCCTGTGACAAACTGAGCTCGTGACAAACTGGGCCTGTGACAAAACTAACACGCTTCCCTGATCTTATGGTAGGTAAGATCTAACACCTAGCCATCTCGGATAAAGGCGAAAAAATCTCGGAGGTTGCGTGTGCAAGTTGCGCACGTTAAAGATCCCTTGGTGGTCCTAAATCGATAAGTGGAGACTTCGGCTGTCACATTGGCAAAATTAAAAAATAATTCCTACAAAACTGAAAATGTTTAAGGTGTCTCACGCGCTCATTTGACCTCATGCAGTTACGAGCGCCGTAAAACTCTTACCTAAACAAAACCCAAAAAATGTGACACACACTCAAAATGCAGAGTCGCAGGCTTTTGTAAAAATTCGCAGTGGCTACGTTCACGGGACCCTGAAAGTAGTTTGTAGTTTATGACTGATCTTGCTCACTTGCTTACTTCACCACCTACCCTTTTCCCTTATGCTTCTTCTCCCCCCCCCCCCCTCTCTCTCTCTCTCTCTCTCTTCCCGCCGTGGCCTTCTTCCATTCTCCCTTGTTTCTTCGAACGACTTTTATTTTCAACTTGTCGAACGTTGCCGGGTCCGCACACGGGAAGAGGATCGCAGTCGTGTTCCGCGCGTTGAGCTAGCGAGGCGTTGTCGATTGTCGTCTGTCGACCGAATCGCCGAAGCTGTTTTGCTGTGCTCGCCTTCGCCCTCCGCTCCGTAAACTCTGTTGCATTCGGACCACCGCTGCATGAGGCCTCTTTTCACGTGAGTAGCCCATTCCTGCGCTGTTTCCTCATTCACTTTGTTTAGTGTCTGTGTGCCCAATGTCTCTGTGTGTGCCTGTATGGGTGATTCAGAGCGCCGAGAACGAAGCCTACAAACTACGTGCGCCGTGAATGTAGGCCTCGTCACTGCGTGTTTTATTCCTTTCGTGAGAGGGAGACAGTCAGACACTGTGTCAAGTAGCCTAGCCAACGACCTCTTGATAGCACGACAATTTATCGAAGTGAGAATACGGAGTCGATTCCCTATATTTGTCATTTTTAGAAGTCGACT